GCTCTGATGTAACTTTGTCGGCCTCCCAGGGGATGAAATGGGGTTGTGCAGGAACACCAACTGTCCGGGTTGCACAGGTTTTCCGGCCACGTTCTTCTCGTAGTGTTCCTTCTGGTGCCTGTGTACACTTTTCAAACATTCCCGCGCCAGTTGGTGAGATCGGTGTTTTAATGTCCATGCATACTCGGTTGATAAGAGGGTGTCTGGTGCGAGGAACGGCGAGCAAACATCGGATGGTAGTCGTACTTCATGCCCGGTTACCATCGCGTGTGGTGTCTGTCTGATCGACGAGTGAACCGCAGCTGGCTAGGCTTACAGACATGAAGTGAGGGCCAAATCCCAGTCCCGCGTGGAGCACTCGTTGGTAAATGCCTTGAGTAATTCTTTAACAGACCGATTGCTTCGTTCGGTTTGCCCATTTCCTTGCGGGCGGTAGGCCGTAGTGTTCGTCTTTCAGATGCCACAGACTTGACATAACCTGCCACTACCTCGTTCTCGAAACTAGACCCCCGATCTGAATGCAACTGAATGGGTGCATCCCAGCGTGAGATCCAATCATCAAATATTGCACGTGCGACATCGACCGCAGCTATAGATGGCAAGGGTACTGCCTCGCACCACTTAGTAAAGTATTCGACCAAAACGAGAATGTACCTATTCCCGCGTTCTGTCCCTGGTAGGGGTCCGATTATATCCATACCTACCATCTGGTTGGGATATCCGGTCAGTATCGGTTGTAAGGGTGCTCGGTTGTACTGCGTTGATGGTTTGATTCGGATGCATTCGACACACCTAATGCAGAAGTTTACGATATCTCGTCGCTGTTGGGGCCACCAATACCGACTCCAAACAACGTGGTCCATTTTGTGTTGCCCAGGGTTACCTAGTTCCTCATGCAGTTTCTGCAGCACTTCAGCAACCTTACTCTGTGGTACCACTATTTTCGGTTCATAGTGTTCCCCATACTTGTGATACAGTATGCCATCCGTGAGTTGTAGTCGCGAACACGCGGACCACAGGCAGTGGCTTTCCCAGCTGTTATGGGCTATTTCGTCCTTTGTTGGTTTGTCTGCGCCAGCCTGGATTCGTGCATAGAGCAGCTGGGTCTCTGGGTTTGTACTCTGTGCTTGGGCCCATTCCATGTAGCTCGAATAACCTAGGGACACCAAGGAGATCAGACAGGATGGGCATCCCCCGTGGCGCGTGTGTCATCTGGAAAGGGCATCGGCGTTGGCGTGGTTCTTTCCGGGTCGGTGTTGGCACTCGAAGTCGTATGCTTGCAACCGTTCCTGCCACCTCGCGACTTGACCTTCCAGTTCTTTGAATGTTTATAACCATTTAAGTGACTGATGGTCCGTTCGGACCATGAATCGCCTGCCCAGGAGCAAATGTTTGAACTGTTTGACATACGTCACCAAGGCCAGCATCTCTTTCCGTGTAGTACAGTAATTACGTTCCGGCTTGCTCAGACAACGGCCGGCATAGGCAATCACGTGCTCCTTTTGGTCCGAGTCGCTCTGCGACAGGACCGCCTCAATCCCCATATCACTAGCGTCGGTATCCACGATGAAGGGCCCTGGGTCGATGGCCACATCAGGGAAGATGAGGATCGGGGCTTGCATCAATCGCGTCTTCAACTCTTCAAACGCCAGTTGGCATTTGGCACTCCACAAAACTTCCTGCCCTTCTCCGTTAATCGATGAAGAGGACATGCTATCTTTGCATATCCTTCCACGAACCGACGGTAATAGGAGGTAAGTCCCAAAAACTGACGGACCTCTAAGACGGATGAGGGTACTGGCCAGGAAGCTACGGCGTCCGTCTTTTCTGGATCATTCCGGATGCCGTTTCCACTGATGACATGTCCCAGGAACTTGAACTCGCTGCGTAGAAATTCGCATTTTTCGGGTTCGAGTCGCAGCCCTGCCTTTTGGATGGCGTGTAGCACCTCTTCTAGATTATTCAGGTGTTCATCTAGAGTACGACCATGTACAATAACGTCATCCAAATAGACAAAGTACCTCTGTGGCACTAACTCACCGAGAACGATATCCATCAATCGTTGGAAGGTAGCTTGTGCGTTGGCTAGACCAAATGGCATTGTTTGAAACTCAAAAATTCCAGAAGGGATGCAGAAGGCCGTCTTCTCCTTGTCATCTGGGTGCATCTCCACTTGCCAATATCCCGAGGCCAGATCCAGCGTGCTAAAGTATTTTGCACCCTCAAGGCTTCTAGGATGTCATCGATGCGCGGTAACGGAAATCCATCTCTGCGTTTAACCTGATTTATTTTTCGGTAATCCACGCACAGTCGTATCGCTCCAGTTTTCTTCCTAACTATAACCACTGGAGACGTCCATGGTGATCGGGATGGCTTGAAGATCCCTTCCTGCAGCATTTCCTGGATTAGCTTCCCCAATTCAGCCCGATACTGTACTGGTACCCGCCTGGGGTGTTGCCGTACGGGTGGTGCACCTTGTGTGTTAATACGGTGCTGGATGATCTGAGTTCTGCCCAGCGGAACGCCCTCCCACACGAACTCATCCTGGTATTTGATTATTAATACGTGTACGCGCTCCATCTGATGTGACGAGGTATCCGGGTCGGCACAGCTGAGAAGCCTGGAACTTTGGCCCTGTAGATCTACGGGGTGTACTGCTAACACCCAATCGGGTTCCCCTTCATTGTGCTCTCCTAGGGATACTCGCTCCCCTTCGAGTATCAGTGCCTCGTGGCTAACATCAGTGCTGCACTGGAAGACCCGAAGAAAATCCATTCCCAAAATCAGATCGTATGGAATTTCTGGGGACACTAACATTGGATGTGTGCTACGCGCGCTATCAATCGTTAAGCTCAGTTCGGATACACCATATACATGTAACGGCGTCCCATTAACCGCTTTCAACCGCAATTCACCGACCGCATCTATACCGCTGGGGCATAGCTCGGGGACGATCAAGCTGCACGCTGCATCTGTGTCGACTAAGGCCTTGGCGTTCTTAACCCCAATAGTTATGGTTAATAACGGCGGTATGACGGTAGTATTGTTAGAGATACACACAGGTGGCAAAACTGAAGGGAACCTTTGAGACTCACCGTGTTGATTTCTCATCGGTCCATAGGGCTCCGGCGCTCGCGGCATGTAACTAGGTCTAGGTCTCGGTCCCCACTGGCCTCGGTTAAACGGGGCAGGTCGCCACTGGTTCGAAGGCACCGGCGAAGATCGGGCTGGTGTTCTTCGGGCTGTGTCCTCCTGGACGTAGCGGGTAGCATTGCGAATTTCTGTTGACCGCGGGGTGTCGAACGTCCGTGCTCGATTGACTGCTTCCAAAGGAGACTTGCCGCTGGATGTCTAGCCAAGTCCTGTCGAGCAGCCTCACTCCGCAACCCGTCTTGCAGCCGCTCCATGGCCAGCACCTCGCGCGACTCCCGCGATCTGGAGCCAAAGGCTTTGTGGACTAGCCCTCTGATGACGGCGGCGCACTATCCGACCGTTTCATTTTCCATCTGGACCCTCCGCCAAAATGTGTGTCTGTGCAAGCCGGCATTGGTTGGCTCCTCTGCGAAGGTTTTGAGGGCTTTCCAGATATCTTCTACTGGCGATTTGACATCGATACCTTCTTCCTCCAGAATATTTTGCAGTCTTTCGCTGATTCTGTCCAAAACAAAGACCGAATGCTCTCGTTCCGGTAGTTAAGACAAGTAGCGACACATCTTCCGGCGGAAACGCCGCACGTTTGCTCCTACATCAAACACTGGTGGGGGTTCCCAGCGTGGTAAGCTGCCACTCGGAACGGGGAAATATGTCAATCGAGTGCGAACGTCCTAGGTGAGTTCTTTGATCTCCGACTGCTCTGAACCGGAACTGGACTTTTCGATCCCATCCTCATCGCCAAATTTGTAATACGCAAAGAAAATAGGTCTGGAAAGGCGCGTTGGTCCGCACGACTCTGAAACAGTGAGCACAACAGTTGGAGTTACAACTCGATATACGAATAAGGCAACCGGCAAACACCACGTTCTAGATCGATACACGACAGAGAGAAGACAGACGACCGTGGGATAGCGTGTATTCGATACAAGTCAATCAATCATCAATCGGGGTTGTACAAGGGGGATCATTTGTGGGGACTGGTGATTGTTTGTGTGTATAGTTCGGTTCTTCTGGCTGTGATTGCTGATAGCCAGCCCCGACACAGGCGATTTGGCTGCCTGTCGGAGGAAAGAGGAGACAGAGAGGGATTACGGCAGAAAATAGAACAATCACATAAGACACCGACCGTCGGCTGACTATTGCCATTACACGAGCCCTTATCGAAAAACCGCTCTTGTCGGGATGATGACTGTTTAGAATTGCTGGCATTGAACAACAAGTTTGGTTCATTACAAACAATGGCATGGACGTATTGGTACTGTTCACAGACTACCGGAATGTGCAAACGTGCATAAGCAGGAGCTTTTCCTGTGGTCCCGGGCAATTATTCGATCACGTAACTGGGTTTGCAATTGATCTCCGAAGTTGCAACGAGATGCTTGAGTCTGAAGTTGAAGAATAAAGTCACCTACGGGTTGGCTTTCAGCGCGTGTGAGCGAATGAAATTGAGCTCGTTCAGCACCTTCGAAATTAGCCGGCTGTAGATCCTTCAGCAGGAAGATTTTCAGGTTTAGCACCGCAAGTGGTCTGAAGCTATGACGCGTCTACGTATTCAATCGTTCGGGCTTATGACGAGATTTTCCAAGGCAAGAACGAATTGCGAAGGAAGCCGAGTACGAGCGTATGAAGTGTATGTG